CTCCCGTAAAGATTTACACCCTCGGAAACCCTGTACAGGGTCGCTATGGGTCGGAACCGACTCGACGGCACTTAACAACAACAACAACAAGTTCTCTCTTAGGTAGAATATAAGCCTTTCCATCCTTTACTCTAGCATTTATTTTTCCCCTTGCTATCTCTGATCAATAGCTGCTAGCATGTTTTGGGGAGGTCAGTGGCGGCTTTTCTGCTCTTGACTGGCAGGTGACACTTTTTACTGCATATTTTGTCTTCTTTCTGTTGGTGTCCTAAAAAAAAAAAGCCCACTGCTGCTCTGCCATCTTTCACCAAACACTATTTCCAGTTCACTAGAGGTATTCTGGGCTGCTAACCACAAGATCAACAGTTCAAACTCACCAGATATTCCATGGGGAAAATCTGAAGCTACTTGTTCCCAGCAAGATTTGCAATTCATAAACTCTATGGAGCAGTTCTTCTCTTATAAGGCACTACAAGTTGGAATCTACTAGACAGCTGGTTTGGGTTAGAGGTGTCTCTTCATCATTGCCTGATGGGGACAGCACTATGAGACAATTCTGAATGATCTCTGTCTGATGACTACTTTGCTACTTCAATCTCCTAAGATAATGTCTCGTCCCTTAAAAAAGTGTTTTTGAAAAGCTCTACCTTACTATTGCTGGAATCCTGGTATAGCACTATAGGATCAGCACTGGATTGTTAACCCCTAGGTTGGTGGTTCAGCCCCACCAGCTGCTTCTCAGAAACCATGAGTTGGAACCAACTCAATAGCACTTACCAACAATAGCATGCTGCTATTTCACAAGATATACTCTGGCACCTTTCAACCCCAGCTTTGGCTCAGACTGGATGTCCTTGGACAAAACACCATGCCAGTAACTTGAAAGGTTTTGTTGTTGCTGTTGTTAGGTGCCATTGAGTTAGTGCAAACTCATAGGAACCCTGTATAAGGTTTCCAAGGAGCAGCTGTTGGGTTTGAACCAACAAACTTGTGGTTCAAACCAACTTTGCTGTCGAGTGCTTTATCCTACAACACCACAGCAGGACTTGAAAGATAGTAGCTGTCATATCATCCTACCTTTCATACTTTTGATTTTCATCCTGATTTTATTTTCTTTCTTTGAAAACATTCGAGAAAGAATGACGTTTTTCCAAACATTATGCCTTTTCAGATGTTCAATATTTTATTTGCTTTGAAATTTAATCCTAGAGAAGTCTATAGCTAAGTGACTTGCCAACTTAAAGCCTATGTTAATGAAGCCAGTATCACAAGTTGCTTCAGATCACCCTGTGTCAGACCCCCTGGCCCTAAGAAAGGA